CTATGCAAAAGCATTAACTATGTGGATAGTAATAAATTATGGGTCATATTGCAAAGAGTGGTAATTCTAGAACATTTAACTGTACTCTTGTGGAATTTCAATAAACCAATAAGTATTTGTTTGAATGGAACAAAGAGTATATAGTTTAAAATCAGGAAGAATATGATTGAAGGTTATATCCTTTCACCATATTTATCCAAAGTATATGCTGAAAATATAATCAGAGAAGCTAGTTTATATGACATGAATACAGCATCAAAATTGGAGGAAGACTCATTAATATCCCCTGTTATGCAGATGACACTACCTTGCTTACATCAAGTCAAAACAACTTTAAGTACTTATGGATAAAGATTTTAAAATTTATACTACTGTTTAGTATGGATTATGGTTCAATATAAAACAAAATCCTTATAACTGAACCAATAAACTACATTATGATAAACAGAAAAATTTGAAATTGTCAAGAAATTTCATATTACTTTGATTTATAATGTTCATGAAAGCAGCAGTTAAATGAAATCGCATATTGTATTGGACAAATCTGCCAAGGACTGTCTTTCAAGGGTTAAAAAGCAAGGACATCACTTTAAAGTCTAACACCATACAAGCTGTGGTATGCTCTGTTGCCTAAGAAGTTTATTGCTTATGAAAACTGGCAATAAATAAGGAAGACCAAGGTAGAATTCGTGCCTTAGTGTTGACGAAGAATATTGAATAGGAAAAGGACTACCAAAAGTGCAAATACGTGCCTTTGATAAAGTGCACCAGAATATTTCTTGGGATTTGAAGCTGATGATGCTGCATCTTTGTTATTTTTGACATGTTACCAAGAGAGACCAATCCTTAGAGAAGGATATCAGGCTTGATAAAGAAGGTCATTGAATAAGCATAAGACTCCAAGAGATGGGTCACGTCGTGGCCATAATAGTGGGTTGAAGCCACAGCAGACACTGTGAAAATGGAGATTGTGAAAATAGATTGGAGGAGGTTTTGTTCTCTCTCACCGTGAGTCGTTGTGAGTCAGAACCAACTTGATGGAACTTAGTAACAGCAGCAACAAGATTAACATGGATTTCTTAATTCTTCTTCCAGAAAGTTCAGAAAACAGTTAAAAGCACATGATCACTGGCAATCTATTTTGAGTTGTTAGTCTCTAAAATACGATCACAAAGCAGAGTTTTGGATATGAGACAGAAGACTTGATGTCTGGTCTCATCTGATGGGATCATCCAGCAAACAGTAGATATGTTTATATGCAAATATATATATATA